ACAAATACACACATATTGTATCGCTACAAGTAATTTCTAATAGAAAGCATTGCAGTGGATCTCATCTCACAACTAAATACATCTCGTTTCAAAGTAATTCCATCTAATCTGATTTGATCTAATCTAATCTAAGCCGACCTGATCTGAACTGATCTAATCAGATCTGGTAGAAATCAAACTGAAGGGGTCAATTCTTATCTAAGTTTAATTCAACTTAAATTATTTCATGTCATCTAATTATATCGTGTTTTATCTAAACAGGTCTGGCCTGATTTGATCTGATAAAATAGAATATCGTCTAATCTCATGATATCTCATGTAATTTCATCTAATCTGATCTTAGATCATCCAATCTAATCTGACACAAAGAGCTAACCCAACTTGATCTATTTCTACTATGATATAATCCAATCTGATCAAATATAATATCTTATAAACAGATCTTATCAGTTCTAATGCAAATTTAATCGATCTGACATGATAACTTATCATGTAATCTTACCATATATCATTTTATTTCTTTGGATCTAATCTAACATTAAATTATCTGATTTGATCAGAGATCAACTTATCTAATCTTATTACATCAAATCTTACCTCGCATATAATTTTATCTTATCTTTTCTGCTCTTATTTTATTTGATTAGATTATATCCTATATAAACTAATCTCTATTATTTAATCTCATCTAGTTTAAATCCATCTAATCTCATCTCTTTACATGTATTTTTTACTTATCTCATCTTACCTTGACTCAATTCTTCTTTTACCATACCATATCTTTACTTTTTATCTCTTATCATTTCATCTTAGCTATAAAATCTCATTTTATCTATTATAATATTATCTAATATTATTTCATGTGTTATGATATGAAATTACTTCTTATCTACTCGTCTAATTTTATCTCACTTCATTCATTCCCTCTATTTCCATGTAATATAATCTGGCATAAACTTTTTATATCACATCCTTATTCATCTGTTCTGATATGCTATTTTCTGATCTAGTATCATTTGATATCCTTACCTCTTATTTTGCTCATATTAACTCAACATTTCTAGTATGTATATATATATATATATATATCAGAAATAGAAACAAAAAACAGAAACAAAAAGAGATACAGAAACAGAAACATAATTAGAATGAGAAAGGGAAACATAGACAGAAATAGAGACATATACTGATACAGATATAGAATCAGAAAGATAAACAGAAACAGAATCGGAAACAAAAACGAAAACAAAATCAGAAACAGAATCAGAAACAGAATCAGAAACAGAATCAGAAACAGAATCAGAAACAGAATCAGAAACAGATACAGATATAGAAACAAAAAGATAAACAGAAACAGAAAAAAAAACAGAAACATAATCTAAAACAAAAAGAAAAAAAAAGAAACAAAACAGAAAGAAATACAGAAACAGAAAAAAATTCAGAAAAAGAAACAGAAAAGGCTACTGATACAGAAACAAAATCAAAAAGAGAAATAAAAACAGAAACAGAATCAGAAACAGAATCTAAAACAGAAACAGAATTAGAAACACAAAGAGAAACAGAAAAAACAGAAACAAAAACAGAAAAAAAAAAAGAAACAAAATCAGAACAAGATAGAGATAAAGAAACAGATACTGATACAGAACTAGTGAGATAAATAGATAGAGAAACATAAACACATACTAATACAG